TATATATATATATGTAATTCCTGATATAGTTCTGGTAGCTGACTTTCCAGCAAATGGCTTCTGCTGAGCGTCTAGGTGGGCAGCCATTGAGGCAGCTTCCAGATGGCTGTAAACCCCATGAGACTCACACAGCCACCTCTCCTATGTGTCTCCAGGCACAAGCAGCCCCTTTGTGAAGAACTCCAAGGGTTCCATGGGTGCCACGTGGCTGTTTCTGACAAGGGGGCTCTAGACTCTCTTCTGGATGCAACCACAGTACAGATGTGGCTCACCCTTGGCTATCACCCCTGCTCCATGGGGCAAAAGAGCCAGGTCCCAGGGAGTGGGAGCCAGCTTCTTGCATTCACAGTATGGACAAGGTAGAGGATGGAGGGGTCAGGGTTAGCCCAGGACCACCTGGACCATCAGCGGAGCTCTTGGGGTCTTCAGTTACACTAGGAGCCTCAGGCCATGGGAGGGGCCTTCGTCTGGCAAAGGGGACGTGGCCAATGACCAAAGGCTGCCCTCCATGCCTGTGTGCGGAGCCACCTGCAAGTGGTAGCAGCTGTCTGCACCTCTGCAGGAGCACACTGGCTCTACACATACTGCTGTCACCTTTGAGTTTGGAAACAGTGCCTCACTCATATCCAAGTAGCAAGCCCTATTTAGGGATCAAGAATCTGAGACTCAAGTAAGACAGCCCATTGAACTTGTGTGAGGTCACATGGCCCATCAGCCGAGAAGCCGGAGCTGGAAGCTAGCATGGCCACCTCGTCTTCACCTTCCAGTGTTCTCTGAATATTTTCACTTCCCTAAGTGTTTTCCCAGTAGCCTGTGTGTCTTGTAATGAAAACGGCAGTCTTGTTTATGCCCAGAGTGGCCGAGAAGCAGGGCAAGCCATCATCTTCTGTCGGCAGAGCTGTTATTGGGCAGGCAAGGGAAGAAAGCAGATGAGTTCCTACTGTCTCTCCAAGGGACCAGCCAGGCCATGTCATTGTCTCTCTGCAGGGGCAAGGAGGGCAGGATGCAAGATACGCTTCTAGAGTCCCAAATGAAGAGAGAAACGGTAATAGTTACTGACCTCTGCTGTGTTCGATTTAGTTATGTCACCTCTTTGAATTCTTCCATGACTCTTTGGTGTAGGTACAAGGTTTCTATTTTATTTCTGGAGAGATTGAGGCTCGACAGGTTTAACGACTTGCCTAAAGTCACACAGCTGGTAGACCTGGCACAGGCTGAAAGCCAGAGCTATCTGGTTCCTAAATCCATGATCCTTCCTGTTTCTGCCAGTCTCTTAGGGATGGGACGTTGATGTACCCCCCACCCAAGAGGCCATGCTAGGCAAGACGTGGCTTCCCTGGGCCTCAGCCAGGCAGGACAAACTCCAGATACACAGCTTTCTCCTGCTTGGTCTTGGCACTCCATAGCCAGCAGGAACCTGTCTCAAGGTTCCCTGCCTTCAGGTTCAATTTCCCTGCCTTGAAAATAGGCAAAATTGGCTCTCTGTGATCTCCCAGGCTGAGAAAGGCTATCTTTGGACAGAAGCAAAAAAAAAACCAAAACTGGGCTAGACGTCAGCATTTGAATTTTTGGTACAGAACTGAATTCTTTTGAATCCTATATTATCACCCCAGACCAGCAGGGCCAGTAAGACCTCAGCTCTCCCTGCCTACTCTCCCACCCCCACTGCTCCCTAAGGCTTCGGTGCTCACCAGCCACTGCTGTAAGAGGCTCCAGCCCCAGGCTCTCTCATCTGACTCAAGCCATGAACTAGGTCCCCGCTGAAAGCCAAGGATAGGGATGATTTATCCAGAGCCAGATCCAACAGCCTGGGCAATGCACCCTCCCACTCATCACCTCTGGGGACCTGGCAAAGACGCTAATTAGCCCCCATGCTCCAGTTGGGAAATGAATCTCCCACCCACCCTCCTATTAGCCCCCAAGAAATTAATAAACCCATCAGATCTAACAAAGTGGCTTGGCAGCGATTACCCAGAGCAATCTAATTGCAAAAAGGCAGTGGGAAGAAAGGGGAGAGGCAGAGCCAGGCGCCCTGGGATACAGGCTAATTGCCCCACCCACTGGGCACCTTCGATGCCACACACATGCCAGGGGTGAGCAGGAGATCCAGCTCTCTCATCACTGACAATCTGTGCCTTTGCTAGCAGCCAAATCCCTTTGCTCCGTCCTGACACCTGCCCCCCAAACCTCCTGCAGGAACAGCTGTTTTGTAAGCTGCTTCTACACACTCGCAAGTGCTGGCTCGAGGTCACTTCAAATAATGTCTCTGCTTGGTGTTCTCAGTTTCTGTCTCTCTCTTGCTCTGCCTTTGAACTTGCTTAGAGGCTCCAGGGATGCACTGAAGGGCAAAGACAATAAGCATTCGGACGTGGTCCCTACGAGCCTCCGTAGCATCTCAATGCAAGTTAGAAAAAATTAACTCTCTGAGATAATAGAGTGCTGCCAGCGCACGGCTGGGCCTGAAGGTTCAGAATTTCAGCCTCTGCTCACCCTTGAGCTCAGTACAACCTGTGCCAACCACGTGACAGCCATAGAGTTGGAGCATTTGGGTTTCCACTTGACTTTTCTGCCTAGGACCAATGAGTAAGTTAATGAACCGCCCCAAGCCTCAGTTTCCTCCATCTGTAATATGAGGATTAAAATAGTAATGATAGCCAGAGAATTGTTAAAAAGATTAAAGGAGATGGCAGATGGGCAAGCTACCGTCACTCTTCACAGTGCTACTGCCTGAGACAGAAGGAACAATCTCTTCTGTGTCCTCCAACGGACTCTGCACTGTGGACTTAAGTTTATTAGACAGATTAGGTCAGTGTCTCCAAGTTTGGTGTCCAGACTGGCAGGATCAGCATTAGAAATTATCCAGCCTCACCTTAAGTGGGCTAAGTCAGAAGCTTCAGGGGTAGAGCCCTACAATTCGTGCTGGAGTCAGCTGGATTCTGAGGTTGGCTAGATTACAGTAGGGCAGAAAGAGAAACTCTATAGTGTAGCAATTAATAATGATTGAGTACCTACCTGGGGTGAACTAGGAAATGATTAAAGATTGGTGATCCCAGACAAAGAGACCCTGACTTACAGCATCTGCCAATTTCTGTGGTGTAAACATTCCCACCACACTGGCAAGATGTTAAGGAACAGAGCTGGTAAGATATGTCGAATGGGCTCTCACTAGGCGGGAGGCTGGTGCCAGTGCCTCAGATGCTCACTGTGCAACCAGGCTCCAGGCCAGACACCAGAAGCTTGTGCATAGCGGTCTCACTGCCAGGAGGGAAAGCCAAGTCCAGCTAAGTTAACTATTCCAAGTCACAGAGCCGGTAAGCAGAAAAACCAGGATTTAACACAAGCCTGACGTGCTGCTTTGTTGGAATGATGATGTCTAAAACACATAGATCGATGATGTAGAGT